TCACAACCAGCATTCCCTTCTCACCATGAGAAACCATGGCACTGCAAGCCCTTAGGGATGGTCTCTGCCATCAGGCACCTGTGGGGCCCAAAGCACAAACAAGGGCCCTGGACAGGTCCCAAGAGAGGGGCAGACAAATGTGCAGAACAAGGACAGATGGAGTTAATCATGGAGCAAAGAGCACCTCCTGCTGCAACCAGCCAATCAAACCCGGCCAAACCATGTCCCAGGCAATTTCCTGGGCAGCCTTCGGAGAGGCACCCAGCCCAAGAAGCCAGCCAATGATGTGGATCATTCTCTGAAGCCCTCTCCTTACAAAAGACAAGTCCAGACCGACCCAATGTGGACAAATGGATAGTTCTATTTTCTCTGAGCAGCAGTCTAATTTCCTTCCAATTTCAAAGTCTCCACAGTTTCCTAACAAGCCTCCGTGGGGCTCATGTAGAAATTAATAAGTTCAAAATGTACCCAATTTGCTTTCATTATCATTTTTTTTTGCCATGCAGTGGATAGAATTTTCATTATTACTCAAGGATTTTTCTGTATCTGATTCTTTTAGAAGGTCATGTCCACTGGGCTCAGATACTGGGTTGAGAATTAAATCAGGTCTAATGGACTTAACTGAGGTCCGAGGGAAGTCTCTCGGACTAAGAGTTGGTGCCTCTACTAATCAGGTGGGGCAGGTACAAAAGGTAATATAATAGGAAGAGGGACTCAGAGCAGGTGGAGAGGCGCAGCTGCACAGCTAGCCTGCTCTAGGATACTGAGCAAGTGGCGGGGTCTCTCTGTGAGTTAGATGTCTTATCTATGAGGCAGGCAGAGAGAAGGATCTGGAAAAGAAAACTAAACTTTATTAAACTTCTACATCTTGAATCACTACAACATGCATCAAAGACGGTCTTTAAATTTAATCAAAACAGCAACCCTGGAAAGCTCATATTATTTTACCGATGAAGACAGTGAGGCTCCTGTAATTGGTGATTCCATTATATTGTCACTAAATCACTAGCTGTGTACCATTAATGGGAACGTAAGCTGTACAGCCTCTAAAGAAAATGGTATGGAGGTTCCTAAAAAAATTAAAGATAGAACTACCATAGGATCCAGAAATCCCACTTCTGGGTATATAAAATCAGGATAGCAAACAGATATCAATGCTCCCATGTTCACTGCAGCATTATTCCCGATAGCCAAGATATGAAAACAGCCTAAGTGCCTGCCAACAGATGAAAGGATAACGGCATCTATGTGAATGCAATGGAATTCTATTCAGGCACGAGAAAGAAGAAAATCCTTCCATTTGCTACAATATAGATGGACCACATTGAGGATATCATGCTCAGTGAAATAAGCCACAGAGATAGACAAATATGCATGGTGTCACTTATGTGTAGGTTCTTTCATATGGCCTCACTTATATGTGGTATCACTATTACGTGGAATCATTTATATCACATACATGTTGTCACTTATATGTGGATTCACTTATAAGTGGAATCAGCTTTGAAAAGCCAAACTCACAGACACAAAGAGAAAAATAGTGGTGACCAGGAGGGTAGGGGACATAGGGAGATGTTGATCAAAGGGGAAAAACTTTCAGTTATAAGATGACTAAGTTTGGGGAATCTAATGCATAGCATGATTACTATAGTTAACAACACTGAGTATAATACTTGAAAATTGTTAAGAGAGAAGATCTTAAATGTTCTCACCACACAAACACATACACATAGTGGTGATTATGTGAGGTGCTGGACGTGTTAGGTAAGGCTATGGTTTAATCATTTTACAATACCTATACTTATCAAATCAATACATTGTACACTTTAAACTTACACCATGTTATATGTTGATTATACCTCAATAAAGTTGGAGAAAAGAATAATAAACCATAGAATATTAATTGAATAGAGAAGCATTTATCCACTTAATCAGATGCATAACAGTATTTAATAAAATGGTGTATTTTCGTGTGCTTTTTTAGTGGGAAAAATAAGTTATAATATTGACTATAAGATAGAAAACAAAGTAGAAAAATCAGTGGGAGGGAATACACTAAACTGTTAGCAGAGGCTCTGGGGATAAGAAAACATTTTTCATACTTTTCTTGGTGCTTTGCTATATTTTTCACATTTCCTACAATAAACACTTATTATTGTCAAAATCAGGAGCTATACAATAAAAATTATTTTAAAGCCCTGCATTTATATGGAAAACGGAATCATGCTTTTTATTTAAACAAATGATACTTTACATAGAAAATTTTCTTTAAAATTTTTTTAAAGGAGAAGTGGAAATCACAAGAAAAAAAACACACAAAAATAATACAAACGGAACCATCGCCCCCAAAGCTTCTAGCTTACCTCGCAGGCTAAATTGGAAATCCAGACCAGTGGGAAAGGGGTGGAACGGGACAGAATACAAGAGCAGTTGATAAGGGGGGACTAGAGGCTGCGGTTGACTTCAAGGAGTGATGGAGCTGGCAGATATGAATTTTTCAATTTTATGAGAATGATAGGGATCTGAAATAAATCTGTATTTTCTTTTTAAGATAAATGTTTTAAAATAAACGCTTGCAGCATAGATGGATGACTAGTGCCTATGTTCTGCCTTAGAGCTAATCATAAATAACATGGAGAAAAATAGCTTTGACCATTTTAAAAAGCATCTTTCTTTTTTGCTCTTAAGAGCTTGGAAGATTATATTTTGATGCATTAAGCAAGAATTTCTTTAATACAGCAGCAAATATCAGGGGTAGTATAGAAATTGCCTTCAGATGAAAATAACGAGTCAGGGCTTGGTTTAGAAGTAAACCTTCATTTCAAGATGTGCCTGGAAACCCATGGGCACATACGATGGTTAGAATACAAATTCAAGTTTAATTGCATTTGGTAGGTTTATGATTTAAGGAAGTCCTTTGGTGACGCTTCAGGTAAAATTGATAATTGTCCCTGAGGCCTACCTCCAAAGAAGGTAAGTGATCTTTTGTAAATCTAAACTTTCAAGGATCAGATTTGCTTGAAATGGTCCTTCC